GGGCTGCGCGACCAACGCCGGGGTAGAGAGGGCAGGCTGGGGGGCAGCGCCCACTGGAGCCGAGGGGTGGAGGTGGGGGAGGCGGGGCGTGCACAGGCACCGGCTCGGGGTGATTCTTTCGGGAGAACAGTGAAAATTCAGACCCAGACCTCACTGAATAGAAAACCTGTGGATAATCCAGGCAGGAGGGACCACCTCCAAGTCCCTCAATCCTCACTCCAGGAAATAGTGCCTCGGAGAGACAGTGAGAGCGCTGCGCACTTTATAGGGTTCGGTGGCAGAGAGCTGAGATCAGCGTGGGGGATCCCCTGTCTCACTCAGGGACGCTGTGCTTTCCCCATTCAGCTTTGATCTGAAGCAGAGAGGTAATGCGTTATGTGTATGGACACCTGTTTCTCACTTGAGGTTCACTTATTGTGCTACGTCCTTCACACTTTTTACTGAATCTTTACAGCCCACTACATGGTGTTAGGTACTATCCCTTCTATTTTATAGATGAGGAAACTGAGGTTTTAGGAAGTCTAAGTAATTTGCTTTAAGTCACTAAATATTTGGTAGAAGTGGGATTTGAAGCCATCTTGGCTTCAAAATCCTTGCTGTTTGGACTGTGGAGTCGAAACCTAGGCCAGGTCTTAGTAGCTGAAGAGGAATTGGATTTCACAGTGTAGCAAGGAGTTCAGGACTGTTAGCAAAGGGAGCAAAGCAGTCTGCCTTACGAAATTCTTTGGAAACATAAAGATAGCTCTATTGGACAAAGGAACAGAAGGGTCCAGTTTCTCTCAGTGTGCAGGGAAAGAAAATACACCTAGATATTTGAAAGCCTCTGTTTTCCCATCAATACAAAACACCCTCCTTTCGTGGTGGTGCATGCCTATAATCCCAGCACTTTGGGGGGTTGAGGTGAGCAGACTGCCTCAGTCCATGGGTTCGGGACCAGCCTGGACAACTTGGCGAGACCTCACCTCTACAATAAATAAAAAAATTAATTGAGCATGGTGGTGCGTGCCTGTACTTTCAGTACTTTCAGCTACCTGAAAGACTGAGGCAGAAGGATTGCTTGAGCCCAGCAGGTGGAGGCTGCAGTGGCCATGAGCGTTCCACTGCACTCCAGCCTAGGTGACAGAGTGAGATTCCGACTCAAAAAAAAAGAAAGAAAGAAAGAAAAAAAGATTTTCTTAAAAAAAATTTTTTTAAAACCGGGGTCGGTGGCTCAGCCTGTAATTCCGCGCTTTGGGAGGCTGAGGTGAGTGGATTTGCCTGAGCCCACGGGTTCGAGACCCGCCTGGGCAACTTGGTGAGACCTCATCTCTACAATAAATCAAAGAAAAAAAAATTAGCCGGGCGTGGTAGCGCGCACCTGTAGTTCTTGCTACTTGGAAGGCTGGGGCGGAAGGATCGCCGGAGTCCAGCAGGTCAAGGCTGCGGTGGCCGGGAGCGGCCACTGCACTCGTCTGGACGACAGCGTGAGACTCCAACTCAAAAAAAAAATTAAAAAACAATTTTTTAAAATATATGTGGGGTACAATTCAGGTTTAGGCATACAAATGTTCATTATGCAAGTACCCTTGTTGATGAAGTGTGCCCCACACTCCCCTGGCAGTTTCCCACTACTGCCAGTCCCACTCCTGCCCTCCCTGATTTTTCAAACAGAAGATTGTGAACTTATATTCAGATTTTCTCAGTTAACTGCAGATGTTTGCAAGACCAGCTTCATGAGTGTGCATCCTCAGCCGTCACAGACACTGATGTTGCCATCCTGACATTCTTTAAAAAAAAAATTAACAAGTGGCTACATTTTCATTTTGTACTTGACCCTGTGGTTATGTATCTGGTCCTGCACGCTTGCCCTAGCACATGTCCTTTGGAAAAAACTTATCACTCTTTCCCCATCCCAGACATTAGTTGAAAGCTCCTGTTCTAAGTGTCAGCCTCTTACTCAGCATTTGGCTCTCAGAATGTTCTAAATTTTCTAGTGACTCGTAGTCTCTCATTTGACCAGGCCAGATTGGCTAGTCCAAATGGCCACAGTTTTTTCCTCCTCAAAACACAATTTCTGACTGCTTGATAGAGACAAACTTCTGGCAGTCAAAATCACAATAGTAGCACCCAGAGCCCACAATGACAGGATCAACACTGTAAACACATCTTTACCAAGCATCTACTCTGTACCAGACATTGTGCTAGAAAGGGATGATACAATAGAGAGAAAACATAGATTAAGTCTTTTTTCCTGGAACTTAAGTCTAATGAGAGACAGAGAGTAAAGTCATCACAGACACACATTTTTAATAAACAGTGATAAAGAAAAATACCAGACTTTAATGAGTGTGGTACAGATGTGAGACCTGAACTAGCATGGGGCCAGAGAGGGTTTTTCTTAGGAGATGAAACTCCCAGGATCTACTGGCAATCCAAATCTTGGCAAGCATGTATACCTTCACATACATCAAGGAATTTTTCATCTTTGGATTTTAGTTTTTTAGATTGAAGTTGTCACCTTTCATTTTAGTAAGTGGCTAACTCTAATTAACAATAGAATTAGCTAATAACATATGTTCATATGTTTATATGTTTATATTTCCCCTGAAGGAAATTTTAAAGAAGCTACTAACTTGCTTCTTGTCACCTTACCCTGGTTCCAGAAATCCTTAATCTGATAAATAATATCCACCTTTCCTAGGAAATTATGGAATTACCCAAAGTTTCCCAAGTTAAATTGAACCTTTGTTTATGTATTTTTAAAAATTATTTAATCTCACCTTTTGTTAAGTAGCTAACTTCTCTTATTCTTCCAAACACATTGTCAGGCATTTGTTACTTTTGAAATCTCCTTCCTTCCCTCACTTACCTGATTTAGATTCCCAAATCAATGTCATAGTCCCATGGCATCCTTCCCTAAGTAATCAATGACAAAGTTGCCTGCCCTCCTGTTGAGCTGTGAACTCTGTGAGAACAGGGACAATGTCATATTCATCTAGATTCTCCATCCCCTGGTACAATGTTTGTTAACACGATGGTAAAAAGAGGCTTCATTTTAGTCTTTTGAGCTCTAAGATGGTCTAGGCATCTGTTACTCCAAGTGTCCTCCATACACTGAGTGGAGAAGGACTCTGAATACTTGTAGGAAACAATAGGATTTAAAATCAAACAAGTTCCTCAATATTGAGGATTTTATCTTTATCATCTTTGAAGAGGTTCTTAAACTGAGAGTCATAGCTATCTGTGAATGTGGGGATCATTAATTTGCATGGAGGTAAGGGGTCTGCAAAAGAGAAATTAGATTCCCAGCTTGCCTCTGGGAGCAGGAGTGGAGGTGGACAGAAACTGCTTTGTCTAAGTGTGTGGGGAGAGGATTCCTAGCAGAAATGAAAGGCACTTTATTTGAGGCTTAGGTCATGGTACTGCTGCTTTTGGACCTAGATTATCATTTCTGCGTTCAAGAACTGGAGTGAAGAGAGTCATCCCACATTGTCACAAAAGTCAGCTTTGGACTTGCTACTGAAAGGTTTTTAATATGTTGGTGGCAGTGCTCAGAGGATAGTGTAGAGGACTGATAGTCTCTATGTATTGGGGGTCAGTGAATATGGACCAGCAAAACGATCCTCAGAGGACACCTGAGGAAGCACTGATGTCCCTGAGCATAAGTGTACCTTTCCATGACTGTGTGTGAGATGCTCCCTGATTCCTAAGAATACGAGGTGAGACCTCACAGAAGACTGAAGGTTCTTCAGTAGAAGTTGTGGCAACATTTCAGCTACGGTTGTCAAGATGACCCCATTTCTACTGTAGGCTGGTGAAGCCAGCAAAAAAAAGGTTGAGCATAATTATTCTAAGTCTCAAGTCTGTAGCAGGACCTTGCAATTTTTATAGATTCCCTTCATGATCCATTTTACTCTGTGTTCTGGATAAATATCAAGCCAGCAGAAGTGTGAGGTATACAGAAATTCATCTCTACAAATTTGAAGTGAAAGCTCTCACTCCTGGTTTATTTACTTATTCATTAATGGGTGAAGAGGGCAACACCCTCCTCCTTACTGATCCCTTGACCAGTAATTAGCATTTATCTTTACATCCAACTGCCTTTTGCAGAAAACACTGTTGAACAGAAGAGTGTGTAATGCTTTTAACTTTCCACCATTTCTCCACTCTGAGTTTGGATAAAGAGACCATATTTCCATCCTTTGAACTTTGGCTTCTTCTAGAGCCATTTGGTAAAAAGACATTAACACTACTAGTTAAATATAATAACCATGAAGGGTACAAGAAAGAAAGAAAGCAAAAGGAAGAGGGGAGATAATCAGAATGCCTGGAGGATGGAGTGCTGATGAGGATAAAGGACACAGAGTCTCAAAGAAGGATGGTTTTCAATGTCCAATGCATCAAAGTCATCCTGGATATACAATTTAATGAGATGTGCAAGAAGGGCACAACTAAGTTGCTGATAATAACAATAGCTAATATGTACTGGGTTTCTAATATATTCTAGACACATTATATATGTTATTTCATTTAATCCCTGCAAAACATGAGCAAGATAAAGAAAATTATCTTTAAGTGAGCGTGAAAACAAGAACTCAAACTCAGATATATCCTGCACCTGGACCAAGTTTTGGGCACTGGTTGCTGTTGCTGCCTAGACAACAGCAGAACTCAGATCTGCTGGT